CGCGTCGGTCCGGCCGGGGTGTGCCTCCGCGGGCCGCCACGGCCCCTCCCGCCTCGCCCTCGCCTCAGGCAGCCGCCCGCCGGCCTCCCCGCCGTTTTCCCGCCGCGTTCTCAGAAGCGCCCTCCTTGGCGGCGGAGCCTTAGCGGCGGGATCCGGAGGGGCCGTGCTGCGAAGCTGGTTGTTTTCTGTCAGAGGAGCGCGTGGTTGAGGTGTCTCTGACGAGACGGTTACTCTTGGGCTCCCGTGACGCGTCGGCCACTTTCCCGTGTCGCAAACACGCCGGTGTTCTCCTCTTCACCGGCGAGACAAGGCTCTCCCGGCCAGCGGCCGGGGGTTTGAGGCGAGGGGTGACAACCGAGGCCCCTCAGCTCCGCGACTGCTGCGTGGTGCTTGCGGCATCGCCGCATCGGGACGGCTTGGCTCACCCAGCTGCCGGGCCCACATGCCTGAAGGCTCAGACACACTTTTGGATGGCTTGAGCTTGAATTTTGAGCCATTGCTAGAAGGAAAGAAACAGCCTGAATATGCAGTGAGGGCTCAATTTCGAGGGGTGTTTTCTCAGGAGCCTCGCTGAGGCTTGACAGCTTTGCGGGTCGCTTTTGCTCTGGTGTTACTAATGTCAGGAACCGTATAGTGCAGAAAGCATTTTGTTTTCGTTCCAACGCTTAAATGTACAATGTGCTCCAGTGGAGTTATATTCCTCTGCTGGGAAATTTGCAAGTGTATATAAAATGAGAATGTGTGTGGGAGTTGTAAAGGTTAAAGGGTGAGTGGAAACACCCCCCCCAGAATCTCAAAATGAAGAGCATATCTTGAAGAATGTACTGCAAATACATTCACTTGCAAAATACGCCGTTAGAAATGATATAACCTGGGAAATGCAACAAGTCAGCAGCCTAAGAAAATGACAGATGTCTTTGAGCACCACAGCAGAATAAAACAAACCTGGGAGACTCTGTACAGCAGGAAGTTGCAGACAAACACGTCCAGCATAATCTGCTTTCTTGCTGTTACCTGTATCTGAATGTGAGCACTTCATTTTGTGTGTGCTCTTTACTTACGATGCAAACACAGGCAGGGCATGCATCCAGCATAGGCAAGAAAGGTCTGCATTACGGCTTGTAAAGGATGGTGGGCATGCTTGTACATCCAGGAAGGCATTTCAGCAAACTGGAGATGGCTGGAAGTTCAGCAGAAAAACAAGAAGACAAAATATTAATTTCTGGTTTTATACTAAGAGCACATATGTCTTTGATGTGGATTCAGCTTGTGTATATTTTTGTTTTATGCTGCCCCTACATTTCTGCATTTAAAGTGCGTAACCTTGTGCTCAGAGCTGGAATGAATCTGCTGCTGCCGCTCCTAAAAGCTACAGGGTTCTGTATGTATAATCACAGAAAACGTACGTGAAAAGGGACCACGAAAGGGTATGAGGAACATAATGGTCTATCTAAGTGACAGTCCTGACATTACACTCCAACTTATAAAAATATTTTAACTAATTGGTTAGTGGAGATGCTTCTTCAGTCCCTAGGAATAAAAAGGCTGAAACTCCTTGACCTCATCTATTGTCTGGCCACCTAAAATAGCTAATCCTGGCATTGTACAGATCCTTGGAGCAATAGCTCAGGAACGAAAGACAACACACAGTCAGATTTTGAGTGACGCAGAGCATGGTCATGGAGCAAAAGCTGAAGCATCTTTGGATAAACATCCAAGCGCGGCCGCAGGAATTCAGCAGGACTCAGGAGGAGCTGGGCGCCTCTCCCGCCTGCAGAGCGGATACAGCTACAGAGCTGAGAGGCAGCGTCAGCTGGCTCCTGTGTGTCTTCGCGGTGCGCTCTTACCATCTGAAGGGGTAAAAACCGGAACTCACAGCCCCTTGAAAATGTGCCAAATTGGCACATTGCTGGACAAAATGCTGGACAAAATGGTCCGCCTTTCAGACTTACTAGTCAGTGAATCATGAGATATTCCCATACTATGGATGATGCAGTTGCAATGGTGTGATGATATAAACAAGGCAAGATCTGCAAGGAAAAGCAGTTTTCTTTTAATAGACCAATCATCACACTTAGAAAAACAGACAACCTCTTGAGCACACAGCTCCTCGACAAACACTTTGCGCTCCAAAAGATAGTGCTTTTTTTTTTTTTCCCAGGTAGGTTAGTTGATTTAGTGAATAATTTCCAACAAATGTTGTCTCACCTGTTTTTTAAAAAAGCACTGCTGGCCTGATTAGCTTCAGAAATTATTTGAAGTAATAGGAATAAAAATTACAGGTTTAGTACATATGGAGTGAAATGATTACATTACATCAGCTAAAACTGCTCCTATACTTCCTCAGGCTGAGTTACTTCGATTCTCATTAAACTCATCTTTCTTTTGAGCTGATTCCTTACCTGTCTTTACATTTAATTTTGATATTTGTCAGCGAATCAATGTAAAACCTGAGAGGCATAGGGTAACAGCCAGAGGACTGTTCTCCTTCAAGAAAAGGTGTTTCTATAGAAAGATGCTCTCATGAGGATGTAGATTGTAGTGGATATTGAAGAATTTTTGCCATGTGGGTGTATTTTCCAGGCCCATGTTGTAAGTCCAGGGTATTTCCTTGATCTGCCACAAGCAACTCAGAAATGCTATTTTGCATTTTGAAACTCTGCTTCTCCTGTCTCATTTTTTATTTCAAGGAATATCAGGATGCAAACACACCCAACTAAGCATGTGAGTCATCCTACTGAAATGAAAGACGTGACTCATTTAGGCCCATGCAACTGGTCCACACTGAACAGGGGTCCTGAAGCCAGAGAGTAGGATACATTAAGCCACAAATCAGGAGCCAAAAGAATTCTGAGTTGCGAGCTCCTGAAAACTTGCCATAGTTATTTCTGAATTGCTCTTTGGGAGGGAGAAGCAGGACTTTTTTGAGATGATATTAAGGACTGTAACTCCAGTGTACTTCTAAATGCCTGTGCTGTTTAATTTTGTCAGCATTAACGTGAAGGTCCTTTGTTGGGAACTGCAACATTGACTGGAACTGTGTCAGGAATAACCATTCTTTGGCCACAGCAGGCTGTCATTAGAAGTGCCCTCATCTTGTCTGCAGTCTTCCTTGTCATGTGTTCCTTTCCATGCACATGAAGGAAGGTGCATACACTTTGCTCATGCAGGCATTACACTTTTTTGCTACTTAACAGAGAATGAGTTGCAGGGATTTGGGGGAAGATATTAGCAAGGAGCAAGCCATGACCAGAGGAATTACTCTGGTAGACGAAATTAGGTCTGTAGGCTATAGCCTGGGCACCACTGAGTTGGGTCGTTACATTTTAAATACATGTGCATTCATAGCTTTGTCAAAGTGAATGAGAAGTAAGCTGAAGCAAAACAATGCTATCATGTAGCTTTGTACGAGGTTGGTTAAATTCCCAGTGAAAGGTGATAGTTCCGAAGTTACTGCATCAGGAATGGGAGGTGTGAGAGGAGAAATGGCACTATTAGCAACTTATTTTTTGACAAATGTTGATGAAGATGTAACAAAGCTTGCATTGCTTTCACCTGGAGCTATCTAGATGAGAAAAGATGTTTAAATAAAAGATACAAACATAAAAAATGAAATGTCCATAAAACTCAATAAATGTATGCATTAAAGAGTACTACTTTTTAAGTCTTAGCGTGGGAATCCAGACTGTTATTTTGCAGCTTGACTGAGTAGATGTCTACCTATAGGACTAGAAACTTTATTACTTTATTTATAGTTCCAGCCTCCCAGATAAGTGCCATACAGTCATGTTGAAAACATTGAATGATTTGATATACTATCATAAACTCATATAATTCAGAAAATGAAAGTGTTTATTTTCATACATGTTTGTACAGTTAATACAGTGATGTAATAAGAAACATTTCAAGCAGATTTTATTACAACTATATGTAAGGCATGAACAAAAATTAAATACAGTAAGCAATGTGCTGAAATATTTACATCGAAGGGAAGATTATGAGACATCACTCTTATTAGTTATTATATAAATAGTGACACACCTAAACCAAGTCTATTTCAGTAGAACTGAGGATTTATGATGACTTGCATAATATTCCTTAGAGTGTCCTAGCCCAGAAAAAGCAAATGAGAAACCTTAAATATCCTTATACATAAGGCAAAAATACAGCTATATACTTGATACATCTATAGCTGCTTTCAGCTCTTGCAGTAATGGAAAACTTTAGCTAATTAATCTTAAAGACTCACATGGGATTCTTCCTTGCAAAAGGATGTCTTTAGGTCGACAGAAGAAACTTCCACCAGTTTTTCATTCCATGAAATGACTGCTTTGTTGCCAAAAGACTGCATTAATCAGGGGCTGTTGGTGTAATGCAGAGTAGCCTAAAGTTTGGAAGTCACGAAATTGCTCACGAGGACTAGACTAGCAT